GCTGACGAGGGGGGCATACCTCCAGCAGGGGGCAGCGGTTCACTAGTGAGAGGGTCCAGTTGGTGTGAGTGGTGTTGACCTCTACCCTCTCACCCCCGTAGGCGGTCAGGGTGCACTGGCCCAGGGCCACCTCAAGCTGGGCCCTGGGGGCTTCACTTCGCTCTACGGACGCTCGGATGTGGCTGTCAGGGGCGACCCCCAATGCCTGAAGCAGCAGCCAAGCGTGCAGCAGGCCAGCTTCCAGGTGGGTGTGGTGGCCACTGGCCGTGTGGACATGGGCCCAGGCGAAGGTGTCTCCAGAAGATACCTGTGCCACCAGGCCGGCCTCACAGGTGTGGGCCAGAGGGAGCCATTCAGGGACAGCACAGTAGGACTCTGTCACCAAGACAGACCAAGGTGAGGCCAAGCCAGTCCCCTACCCCCTATCTCCGCCCCCACAGGGAAGCTATGTTGCACAATCTCAGCATAAAAGCCAGCTACTTCAGCCCCCACCTGATGCCCACTTCTACCTACAGCACCCTCTCCCAAGCCATGCTCTACCTCTGCTTGGGCACGGGAGGTTCCCTCTCCCGTGGCCACTCACACCCTTTACTAACAGACCACACTCCTGCGAAATGATTCTCTCTCCCAGGCCGATAGTTGCCTCCCTCCCGGGAGGCGTGAAGTTCAGCCATCCACAGCAATGCAGGGTACCTACATCCTCGCCCGGTGTGCACATGTCTGGGCCCTCCCCCAAGCTTTCCCTCTATTTGCAGGACAGTCTCCCTTCTCTCAACATCCCTCTCGTGGCTGGGGTTCACCTCCCCTCCTGCCCTTGCCCCCCCGATCTGGACACACTGTTTCTTAATACCCAATGGGAAACAAACCCATTGCTGTTACAGCTCCTGTGTTACCCCATGTGTTACAGAGTAGAACTGCTCCATGGGTTTTTTGGCTGTAATCTCCATGGATGCAGATTGCCAGGCATTTCTTCCGTGGTGCCATTAGGTGTGTTTGAATGACTAATATCTAGGTTAGTAGCTAAGCAAAAACCATTTGCACCACTCAAGGCTCCTCCGACTGGTGTATTCTTGGGACTTAGAGGCCCGGTCTGGGGCGTCCTGGGAGGAGTCTGTACCCCCAGCTGCTTCCTGTTGTCTGTGTTCATCTGTCTGGCCTGGAAGAGGGGACAGTGCACCCATAACTGTGCAAACGATCGCTATCAGCCTGCGGTGGCTAGACAGTGGCCACAGGGGGGACCAAGTAGCTCAGGCTGACGAGACACTACACTCTCTGGCCTGGCTGCTGCTAATCCCCGGCCAAGGACTGAGGAGCACCCGGCCCAGAACACATTTTCACTTCTAGCTGCTTCCTCAGAATTCCGGACCCTGGCTATCTGAGGGGAGTATAGTCCATCCACCCTCCTGTCCCAACCCTCTTCCGTCCGGAGCACGTGAGCCTTTCTGGCAATCTCCTCTCCCTGCATCTCTCTCATACATGTAGCTATTAGCTCCAGGTGGCCCCAGACTTATATTTCATCGGGCAGGAGCCAGCCCTGCTGTCCAGCCTGTTAAAACCACACCTCCCCGCCCCAGTCATGATCTTAGTACATCTTAATCTGGGAGCTCCACTGAAACCCGTTCAACGTCGTTTGCAAAAATCAGCCAATAAAACCCCTATGGATTGTGTATGTTTTGCTGTGTATGTTCTCAACCGCAAAATAAATTAATTGAAAATAAATGAAAAAACCCTATGGAGCATGATGAGTCCCTGGTGGCACAAATGGTTAAGTGCTGGACTACTAACAGAAAGGTTGGTGGTTCAAACCCACCCAGAAGTCCCTCAGAAGGCCTGGCGATCTGCATCTGAAATGTCACAGCCTTGAAAACCCTATGGAACAGTTCTACTCTGCACGTACGGGGTTGCCCTGAGCAACTCAACGGCAACTAAGAACAACACGCCACTCTAAAGAACTGTACGTCTGAATACCCTGGGGGTCACAACAGAACGCTGTCTGACCCGCAGCCGATCACGGGACGGTGCAGGACTGGGCATCATTTTGTTCTGTTGTTCACGGGATCACCGCAAGTCAGGGGCCAACTCAAAGGCAGCTAACAACAATTCTGAGCCTATGCTCTCTTAGCGAGCCCTCGAACCATTCATGCCACCGTGTGACCTCGGGAAAGTGACATTATCTCTCGGAACCTTAGTTTCCACATCTGTAAAATGGGAACAGTGATTCCCTGGTAGCTGAAACCAGGAAAAAAGAGGCCACTTGACACGTGTTGGCTCATGTCTTGCTCAACATCACCCCATGGGGTGGGTGTTGTCATCTGCAGTTTACAGACGTGGCAGTTGAGGCTCAGAGAGGTTAAGAGTCTTGCCAAAAGTCACGTAGCAGTGAGTGGCACGATGCGCAGAAAGCTGCGCCACCTGATTTTCCTGTCCCTGGGTCTCCCCATGCAGGTGCAGCCGCCACCACTGCCCAAGCTGGAAGAAGAGGCAGTGTGTCTTTCTTGCTGACGCAGAGCCGGAGCTGACCCCGGGCAGGCCAAGCTCCAACTACCTGGACAGCCAGGCAGTGGGCCTGCAGCACCAGCTCCCAGGGCCTCTGGACTCCCATCCCTCAGCAGTGCCCACATCAGACACCCTGTGGTGCCCACTCAGCACCTCCAGGCTCATGTCTGCCTGGGCCCCCGAGACCCAGCTCCTCCAGGGGATGCTGGCATGCAGCCAGGCCAGGCCTGCCCCCAGGCTCAGCTGCCTGCAGGGTGGCACCGAGAAGCTCTGCAGGTGGCCCCATGGTGCTCCCAGCTCCAGTTCACCCCCCGCCCAGGGCCTGGGATCCACAGGACCAAGCAGGAGTGCTCAGAGTCGGGCCATGCTGCAGCCTCAGCCCGGCGCTAAAGCCTCCCCACTGTGCTTTCTGGGAGAGCGAGAGAGCCCACCTCCCACCGAGTCTGGGCCCCAGCAAGCTCAGCACTACCTGAGCCGGGAAATGCCCCAGCCCTACCAGCCTGTCCTGGCTGCAAGTCCCACCATCCCTGTTGCTCGAGACACCTGGCCTGCCCACCTGCAGCGCAGCCGCCCGGCTCGGGCCTTGCAGCAGAGGCTGGCACAAGGCGTTTGGGCTCTGGGTGGACGTCTAACCGGGCTTGCAGGAGGGACTGCCCACCAACAGTCAGGTTGAGCCGTGGGCTGGGCCTCCCTTGCAGCTGGGAGCCCAGGTACATGTCGCTGGGGACACAGAGGGCATGCAGCAGCCCAGCCGTGACTCGGAAGACTGGCCACACTGCAGGTAGCCCCCTGTGCTCAGGCTGTGCCAGCCCCCCTGGAGGAGGAGCCTGACACACCAGCGCCACCCTGCCTGGGACAGGGACCCCTGTACCTCGAGAGGCCGCCCAGTGACGTCACCCTGGTAGGCTCCAGACAGCCGGATGGGTGAGGCATCTCCACTGCAGCTGACCTGTGGAAACCAGGTGAGTGGGTAGGGGACAAGTTAATAGGCAGTTGGGGATACAGGGATAGAGAAGCCTCTTCCCCTAACCTTGACCCCCAGTGACCTGCCATTAGTGCCAAGACCCAGTCTACCCCATCTCCCTTTGGGGAGTCCCCCCTGGAAAATAATCCCCCAAGAGAGGTCTGTACAGAGCCCTGAGCGTTAAGCCACGGCGTTGCCATAAATACAGGTAACAAGAGCACACGCTCACATGGCTCCTGTGTGCCAGGCGCTGCTCTAAGTGGTTTCTCCCCGGATACTGTAACCATAAAAAAAAAAACAAAAAAACCCATTACCATCTAGTTGATTCCGACTCATAGTAACCCTACAGGACAGAGTAGAACTGCCCCGTAGGGTTGCCAAGGAGCGGCTGGTGGATTCAAACTGCTGACCTTTTGGTTAACAGCCCGAGCTTTTAGCCACTGTGCCACCAGGGCTCCTCAGTAACTATAGGAGGTAGGGATTGATAATAGTCCCATTTTGCAGATGAGGAAACTGAGACACAGAGTACCAAGTCTCTTGACCAAGGCCGCATCAGTAAGGAATAGACTTAAGCCTCACCCCCTAGCCTTGGACTATGTGTCCTCATCACCCCCACCCTGCTTCTCACAAACTTTGGGGGGTCAGCCATCCCTGCCATAGGCACGGGGGGCTTCCTGGTTTTCAATCTGCCACAGACATCTGCCTGCATGTGTCCCTATCTAGGGGTGCACGTGTTTCTCTAGGGGGTGCCCAGAAGCGAAGCTGGTGGGCGAGGGTTTCAGCAGTTGTGATTTTATTAGATGGGGCCAGGTGCCATCCCAAGTGGCTGCACCAGGTCACACTTCCAGGGGGAGAAAGGTGAGTGGGGGTTACGTGGGCAATTTAAGGACAGATGAGGGGGTGGACGGGAGGACAAGGGGACGGGATGGAAGGAAAGGGGGATAGGTGAAAGGAAGGGGAGAAAAAGGAATGAAGGTTGTGGGTGGATGGGAAGCCAGAGGAAAAGATGTTGGGGAGGATGAGAGGGAAAGGATGCATGGGTGGGAGTGGGTAGGTAGGAGACTAGGGGACAGGTGGGTGGGAGGTAGCTAAGTTGGACGTTGGAGGGTAGGTGAGTGGGGGTAGGTAGGTGGGAGGGGGTAGGTGGGAGGTTGGGGGACAGGTGAGAAGCGGTAGGTGGTGACAAAAGAAGGAACCGAGGCCAGAAGGAGGGCTCCGGTGGGTGCTGTTTGGGCCAGGCCACCCAGCAGGAAGAGCAGCGGGCCCAGCCGGGCAGGGCATCTCAGGCCAACTCACCTGCAGCCAGGAGGGCAGGGTCCCCAGCAGTGCAGAGAGGCTGTGCTGCAGCCCCAGGCCCAGCCCCTCACGGCCACCCTCTCTCCTCCGCCCCAGGTCCACTCGAAGCTGCTCCCCGTCCAAACTCATCGTCAGCCCAGCCATCAGCCAGTGTTCTGCGCTCTGGGCAGAAGCAAAGCTGTGTGTTTCTCAACCTACTGTCCCCTGAGGGTGCCCAGGCCCAGCCCCGCTCACCGACCTGGAATTATTCACTGCCATCCACAGAGAAGTGGGGGTCCCAGTGCTGCAGGCCCGGCACGGTGTGGCTGAGGCTGCCGGCAGAGCCAGGGCACGCGCCTGCCAGGCCCAGGGAGGCATCCAGCTGACCCCAGGCACTACGCAGCCCCACGTGCGCGGAGCAGTTGGAGGCCACACGCATGAGTGACAACACCAGCTCTGCCTCCTCAGGGATGCCTGGGGACAAGAGGCCCAGTGTGGTGAGGACGAGGTGACCACTGAAAGGCCAGAGCCCAGTCTACCTGATCGGGGGGCAGGACAGGGCCCGAATGAGGGCCCCTTTTCAGCCCACCTTCTCTCTGCAGGGTCCCCTGAGCCCCAAGGCAGACCGCACTCCCAGGCCCCACGGCCCCCAAATACACCAGATCAAACTATATGAAACTGCCAGTATTCAACCATTCCTGATGCACAAAATTGGCAATTTCATCGGTTCCAACCTAATGCCACCATAACCGCACTTAGCGGGTGGTTAAGCCCCGTGTCCTCTCTGGATTCTGCAGGCCCTGAGGACAGGGGCAGGCCTTCAGAAAGTGTGAGGCGAGTCAGAGAGACAGAGCATGTTCTCATTGCAACTTGTGGCCCCTCCAGGCCTCACGGAATGTTCCCCAAGGAACCGGGGCAGGGGACATTTGAGCTATTTCCCATGGCAGAAGCTGAACTGGGTGGCAGGGAGCTCTGGGCCAAGGGCTTCGGCAGGTGCTGTTTGCCATCTGGTTTGGAAGTGCACCGACATGAATGATGGTGCCCTCGTACCCACGTGTTCCGGTTGAATAACAACGCGGGGAAGAAGGTGGAAGATGTAAACTAAGGCGCAGGCCCCTCCAGAGGCGCTGGGAGAAGCTGGGAAGGGGAGGAGATAGAGATGGAGCTGGGAACGTGGATTTGAGGCTTGGAGGGCTCTGATAAAAAGGTCGTCGGTTCAAACCCACCAGCTGCCCCACGGGAGACAGATGTGGTAGTCTGCTTCTGTAAAGATGCCAGCCTTGGAAACTCCATGTGGCAGTTCTACTCTGTCCTGTGGGGTCACTATGAGTCGGAATTGACTTGATGGCAATGGGTTTGTATCCCTCTCCCTTGGTTCCAGGGCCTGGGAGTCTTTCCAGCTCTGTCCACCCTCCTACCTGCATCACTCAAGGCGCTGACGTTGTGACTCAGGCTACCCATGAGGTGGCCTTGCCCGGGGCCCCAGGCGCAGGCCCCACCCAGAGCCAGGCTGGCTGCATCGGCATGGATGGCAGCCTGGCCCAGAAGACTCCTTGACCAGGCCTGCAGCTGGCCCCTCAGCCGGAGTGCGCCTGGCAAGGCCTGGCTGCTGTTCTGGGTGAGGAAGCAGGTAACGCTGCGTGTGCTGGTGCTCTTCCTCTGCCTTCTCATGCTTGTCCCACAGCAGGAAGCCCAGCAGAGCTGAGTTGGCAGTAACCTTGATGGTGCCTGCAGAGGATGGGAAAGAAGCCACAGAGAGTGGTCCAGAATCTTTGGGGAGGAGAGGAAAGAATCCTGGGGTAGGAATTTCCGAGGTCTGTGATGTGATTCTAACTCCCGTCAGAGACGGCAGGCCTGGGAAAATGACCTGATTACACCAGCTCCTTCCCAGGAAGCTCTGAGGACTAAATGAGCTAATTCACAACCTAAAAGGGAGTTGGCAAAAAGCCCGATACAGGATGCCCATTAATACAAGGAAGGAAGCCGGGTGGTGCAATGGCTAAGTGCTTGGCTGCTAACCAAAAGGTCAGCGATTGGAATCCACTCAGAGGTTCTAAAAGTCTTGGTGATCTACTCCTGTAAAGATTCTGTTGCCATTACCACTGAGTCAATTCTGACTCACAGAGACCCTATAGGACAGAGTAGAACAGCCCCATAGAGTTTCCAAGGCTGGAATCTTTACGGAAGCAGACTGCCACATCTTTCTCCCGAGGAACAGCTAATGGGTTCGACCCATCGACCTTTCAGCTACCCACTGCACCACCAGGGCCCCTTCCCGTAAGGATTACAGCCTAGGAAACCCCATGGGGTAGTTCTTCTCTGTCCTATCGGGCCACTGGGAATCTGAATCGACTTGACAGCACACAACAGTGACTTTAACACAAGTGCACCACTCCTGCTCAAGGGAACCATATTCCACTTGTTATGAAACAAAAGTTAACTCGGAATGGATCCGTGACATAAATACAGGAGTTAAAACCATAAGACTCTTAGGAAAAACACATCTTCAAGACCTTGGCTCAGGCAAGGGTTTTTTTAGATATGAGGCCCAAATCACAAGCAACAAAAGAAAAAGATGGATGAATTAGACTTCATCAAAATTAACAACTTTTATGCATCAAAGAACATTCTCAAGACAATGAAAAGATCACCTACAGAATGGGACAAAGTATTTGCAAATCCTATGCCTGAGAAGGGTCTAGTATCCAGAATATATAAAGAACTTTATTACTCAACAACAGAAAGACAAACAACCCAACTCAAAAATAGGCAAAGGACTTGAATAGACATTTTTCCAAAGAAGGTATGCAAATGGCAACCAGCACATGACAAGATGCTCAGCGTCCTTGGTCACTGTTATTGTTAGGTGCCCTTGAGTCTATTCCAACTCACAGTGACCCCATGTGACAGAACAGAACTATCCCACAGGGTTTCCTAGGCTGTAATATTTATCAAAGCAAATCATCAGGTCTTTTCTCCCACGGAGCTGGTGGGTGGGTTCAAACCACAAACCTTTTGGTTAGCAGTCGAGCGCTTAACTGTTGGGCCACCAGGGCTCCTTAGGGAAATGCAGACCAAAACCACAATGAGATACCACTTTACACCCACTAGGATGGCTATCACCAAAAAAGAACAAAAAATACGGGTTGGCAAGGATGTGAAGAAATCACAACCCTTATCCATTGCTGCTGGGAATGTAAAATGGCGCAGCCACTGTGGAAAACAGCTTGGCAATTCCTCAGTAAGTTGAGCATGGAATCACCATATGAGCCAGCAATCCCACCCCTGGATATATGTCCAACAGAAATGAAAACAAGTGTCTACCACCAAAACCTGTACATAGATGTTCATAGCAGTAGTATTCACAACAGCCAAAAGGTAGAAACAACCCAAATGTTCACTGACTGACAAATGGATAAACAAAATGTGGTCTACCCATACAGCAGAATATTATTCAGCTGTAAAAAGAAATGAAGTCCTGATACACCATACAACACGGATGAACCTTATATACGCACATCCTAAATGAAAGAAGCCAGACATAAAAGACCACATATTGTATGATTCCATTTATATAAAATATTCAATAGGCAAATCCAGAGAAGCAGAAAATAGATTAGTGGCTCCTAGAAAGTGGGGGAGAAGGGATGGGGAATAACTCTTTAATGGGTACGGGGTTTCCTTTCGGGATGATAAGAATGTTCTGGAGCTAGACAGTGGTGGCAGTTACACAACATTAAGAATATACCAAGTGTCACTAATGGTAAATTTTATGTGACATATATTTTACCACAATTATAAAAAAAAAAAAAGACAAACCACCCAATAAATGGGCAAATAAAAAATTGATGTGACACTTCACAAAGGAAGTTGTATGAATAGCTAATAGTACATGAAGAAGTTCTCAACAATATCATTAGTACCAGAGAAATGCAAATTAAAACCATGATGAGATACCATTATATACTTACCAGAATTACTATTAACATTTTAACAACCCTGACAACACCAAATGTTGACAAGGATGCAGAGCAACCAGAACTCCGCAAAGAAATAACAGCGCAAAATATCTCCTCTTTGGAATAAGTTCTGGCAGTTTCCTAGAAAACCAAGCATGCACTCACCCTGAAAACAAAACAAAACAACAAAAAGAAAGCAGACCGCCTGGCCTTTCTTCCGCGGCACCGCTGGGTGGGTTTCAACTGCTAACCTCTAGGTTAGTAGATGGGCACAAACTGCACCACCAGGAACATTTTACACTTACCTATGACCTAGAAATTGTACTTCTAGGTATTTACCTGAGAAATGAAAGCCTATATCCAAAAAGGCTTATATTAGAATGTTTGCAGCAGCTTTATCCCTACTAGCCCTGAACTGGAAACATCCCAGGTGTCCATCAACAGCAAAATGGACAATAAACGCAGTATATTTACTCAATGGAATACGACTCGGCAATACAAAGAAATGACTGCTGACACATGGAACGACATGGAAGAATCTCAGGAACACCATGCCAAGTAAAGGAAGTCTTAAACCAAAGAGTACATACTGTCTGATTCCATTTATATGAAGTCTTAGAACAGGCCAAACTAACCTATGTTGGAAAAAGTCGGAAGAGTGGTTGCCTCAGGGGTGTGGGGAGGGGACTAACTGGGAAGGGGCTTGAGGGAACTTTCTAGGGTGATGGTCATGCTCTGTATCTAGTTAGGGGTTTGGGTTGCATGGGTGGATGCATTTGTCAAAACTCAGTGAATATACACTTAAGATTTTTACATTTCACTGTATGTAAATTTTATACCACAGGAAGGAAGGGAGGGAGGGAGGAGTACAAGCAAATATTGAACTCTAGTTAATGACATACGGAACCCTGGTGGAGCAACTGGTTAAGCGCTTGACTGCTAACCAAAAGGTTGGCTGTTCAAACCCACACAGCCACTCCGTGGGAGAAAGCCCTGGCGATCTGCTCCTGTAAAGATTACAGCTGAGAAAACCTTAAGGGGCCGTTTTACTTTGTCACATGGGGTCGTTATGAGTCAGAATTGACCTGATGGCATGCAACAACAGTCAACAATATGTATGCTACACCGTTTAGAGGTAAGGTGTTCTCATGTCTGCAACTCACTCTGAAAGATACCAAAAAATAAAACGGATGGATGGATGGATGGATAGACAGGGATAAAGCAAATACAGCAAAATACTAGCAATTTTAAAATTTAGGTGGTGGGCACATGGTTATTCACCACGTAATTCTTTTAACTCTGTGGTATGCTTGAAATTTTTTGTGGCAAGATGGGGGAAAGGACACAGGAGCCAACCTGAAGGGAATCCCACTGGCCAAGTGTGGGAAAGCTAAGCATCAAAGTAACTTCTGATAGTAATAGATTAAATCATGTTGACTAAAATAGGAATCCATGAGTTCATATTGATGTAAAGGAAAAATGGACACTAATTTCTCATGAATCAGTATCACCAATGTGTGAGATGCTGGGATGGGGCACCAACGGACTTGAACGTGAGCAGCATTTATTCTACCCTGTGGTTAAATATAAAATGCTTGCCAAAGACCTCCACTGGCCCCAAGCATTCCCTAAGCCCTCACCCTCTCTGAGCATCTCCTTCTGCTTCAGCATGCCTGTGAGGGTCAGGAGATGGGGCACCGCTGCCCAGTCAGCCACTGTGTGCTGGGCTTGGCTCTGCAGGGTCAGGACCCAGCCTCCCCTCCACTCCTCAGCCACCTTCAAGAGAAGCTGTGCTTTGTTCTGATCCAGCAGTGCCTTGGAAAACAGCCCAAGCCTAGGATAGAAAGAGATAAGGGGATGATAAAGAGTGGTATCCATCCCTCTAGAGATCGAACAATTTTCCCCTTCAAGTAAGCAGGCCAGGCCATAAGACGCGGTTCCTAGACCCCACCATCCAGGCCCATCACAGGATTGATTTTACTGGGCGCTCAGCCCACAGGCAGGCAGTGTAGTAAGGGAGTTAAGATGATGGGCTTTATGGTTAGTCAAACTGAGTTCAAATTCCAAAGTTGCTACTTACTAACTCTGTGGCCTTGGACAAGGACACACCCTCTCCGAGCTTCAGTTTCTTCTTCTTTAAAGTGGAGAACATAACACTGATGCTGAGCTGATGTTAATATTGACACGGATAGGTACTAACACTTTACCAGGTGTGACAGATTGTGTTTCCAAACACGGCCAGAACCATAGCTCCCATCCCACACACTCTTTTGCAACGTGACTCTGCCACTCCCCCATTAAGACACGGGGTCTATTTCCCATCTCTCTGAATCTGGGCTGGTCTTGTGACTTGCTTCCTTTTTTGTTTTTTTTTAATCAATAGAACGTGATAGAGGTAACACTGTGTAACTTCCAAGGCTGCGCTTTACATGTGAAAGCAGCTGTCACCTTCACACTTGAATGCTCCCTCTGGCAACTCAGCCACCAGGTAAGAAGTCTGACTAACATGAGACCACCCTACTCTGAGGAAGCCCAAGCTTGCCACTTGAAGTGAAAGAGAGGCCATATGGAGGGACACTGAGGTGCTAAACATGTGAGTGAAGCCTGTTTGTACCTTCCAACCCACCCCAGTCCCCAGGCCATGCACATATCTGGCTGACAACTGACTTTGCTGAATGCTGAAGTCAACCAGGAGGCCCAGAGAATGACAGCTAATGCCACAAAGAGTACAAGCACCCAGCTGAGCCCTGTCCTGACTGACAGAATCATGAACAAATAAAATAGTTGTTATTTTAATCCACTGTGCTTTGGGGTGGAGGGGGGGAGTTTGTTACACAGCAACAGTTAACTAAAACATGTACATTTTAGATGCATTATCTGACTCCTCACAAAAGTCCTATGAGAGGAAGAATACTGTGATCCCCACTACACAGATGAGGAAACTGAGGTAGCAAGGTTAAGTAATTTACTCAAAGCTCATATAAGCAGTTAGTAGTACCTACTGCACAGGGTTGTTTATAGTATTAAGTGATATTGTGAATATAAAGTGCTTGCTCCTGGCCCATAATGAATGATCAATTCATGTTATTATGGTGAGGGACAGAGAGAGCCCCAAGAAGCCTGTTGTTAAACTCCCTGAAGAACCGGGACAGGGACATGGTTCCTAACATCACATGATGTGTTTTGTATACAACACCATAGGAGATACTACTGAGCATCAACACTGTAAAGAAATGAGCCATGCTTTCCTTGGTGCACATGCACACAGGTGTGTGAGTATGTGTGCGTATCCCTTATGGCCACTACAGATACTGTCCCTGGATGATTTCTCTCTTTGCATTGGCTGCTAGGAAGCTCAGAGTCATATCTGCTCAGCTCCAAAAAATGTAGAGGACCTCATGGCAGGCATTTTGTTTACTGATGACACTTTAAGCATTTTCCCATTTTTTTCTTTCATCCTAATTTTCTCACGTATTATTTTAAATCCAGAACAAGAGTTGACAAACTACTGCCTATGGGTCAAATCTGGCCAACCATCTGTTTTTGTAAATAAAGTTTTATTAGAACATGGCCCACACTCATTCATTTATGTATTGTCTATAGATGCTTTTGTGCTGAACAAACAGCAGAGTTGAGTAGTTGAGACAGATTGTATGGCCCACAAAGCTGAAGATATTTACTATGTGGCCCTTTACTAAAAGTTTGCCAACCCCTTATCTAGAACAATATACATTTTTATAACCTGCCTCAAATCCTTTTCAGACTGGGGATAAGGACGGGCAGTTGGACAGATGAACAGACAGCTGTAGACGATAAATCTATCTAAGACCATGTCCAAAGCCTTAAGTCTTCCTGAGTTCACGCCAAGGATAAGGACAAAACTGGGACTGCAGAGGAAAGAGGAACTAACATTTAATGGGGATGCAGTTTGTGCCAGCAGGGCGCAGTACTCAAATTAGCAGCGGTAACAGTGGTGGCTGCGAGGTCGGTGAACGTTCACGCTGGCCAGGCGCTGCCTTGGAGCTCAGTACAGCACTCAGCCAACACTTAGGACAACCCTAGGAAGCAGGTCCAGAGACACAGAAGGGCAGAGGCGCTTGTCCAAGGTCACAGGGGCAGCAAGTGGCAGAGCCGGGATTTAAATCAAGTCGGTCTGAATCCAGAGCCCTGGTGGTGCAGTGGTTAAGAGCTCGGCTGCTAACTAAAAGGTCAGCGGTTTGAATCCACCAGCCACTCCTTGGAAAACCTACGGGGGCAGTTCTACTCTATCCTATAGGGTCACTATGAGTTGGAATCACCTCGATGGTGGTGGGTTTGGTGTATGGGGTTTAGTCTGTTTCCAGATCGCTCTCTCTTGACCTACATGTTGTTGCTGGGTGCCATCTAGTCAATTCTGACTCATAGCGACCCCATGTGACAGAGTAGAACTGTTCCATAAGGTTTTCTAGACTGTAACTGTTTTTTAATATTTATTTTCTTGTTATTGTTTTTGAGAATATACACAGCAAAATATACACCAATTCAACAGTTTCTACATGTCCAATTCAATGACACTCATTAAATTCTTTGAGGTGTGCAACCATCCTCATCCTTCTTTTGTGTGCTGTTCCTCCTCCATTAACACAGACTCACTGCCTCCTAAGCTTCCTGTCTGACCTTCTGAGTTGCTGTTGTCAGTTTGACCCCATATACAGGCGGTCCCCGTTTCTAAGTCTGTCTTTAAGTCAAATTTGTAGGTAAGTTGGGAACAAGTACATACGGTTCTTATTTAGGGTCAGTTACTCCAATGTTTGTCTTAGTATAGAGTATATATTTTACGCTTCTGTGTATATAAAACACTTAAGACACCCTCCCAAAACACTCAATGTTTTCATGAGCACCACAAAGTAGAGCGCGCGTTCGTTATTATGAACCACTGCATTTAACTCAAATTTTTAATATAATAGGCTTTATGGTAGTCCATTCTTAAGTACGAGTTGTCCATAAGTCAGACGTTTGTAACCCACGGACTACCTGGAGATAGTTCTTAAGAGTAGGCTGTAACCTTTATGGGAGCAGATCGTTAGGTCTTTCTGCCTGGAAGCAGCTGGGTAGATTTGAACTGTCAGCCTTTCAGTTAGTACCCAAGTGCTTAACCATTGGCACCACCAAGGCTCCTTCTGCCTGCCATATAATACTAGATATACTATATAGATTCATATATCATATATACGTGAAAATGGAGAGTTAGTGGCACAGTGGTTAAGCATTTGGCTGCTAACCAAAAGGTCGGCAGTTCGAATCCACCAGCCGCTCCTTTGACACCCTGTGGGGCAGTTCTACTCTGTCGTACAGAATCACTATGAGTCAGAACCGACTCGACGGCGACAAGTTTGGTTGTTGTTGTTTTTTTTGTGAAAATGGAGTCAGAGATCTAAGCCTGGAAGGAAATAAACCAATATATTCTCTGGACTAGCTCTAGTGATTTTTTTTTTTACTTGTAATACATTATAACCCACCAGGTTGTCTATAATGAATGCTCTCATAATCAAAAAAGGAAAAACTGAATAAATGATAAAAGCAGAGCAGTGAATGCCTCTCTCCCCCATTCTCTCAATGCTCAGACTCGAGAATGGCCCTAATAGGGCAAAGTCAGACGTGGGCTCCAAGTGACAAAAAGAGTGATGATTTGCCCTCAGAAGCCCCACCTCCCCTTCGCAGGCTGCCTGGGGACCATTACCTTGTTGGTGCCTCCTTTCCCGACAGCTGCAGCTGAACAGCCCTGGGGGCGGGAAGGACAGCCTGGTGGAGGAGGATGCTCACACCCCAGCCCCCGCTGCCTCCCTGCATGTCCAGGCTGGTGTGGGCCTCCAGCAGCAGCAGCTGCTGGCTGGCCACGTGCACGGACAGGAAGCCGTTGAGGCACCTGCAAGGGGGGAGGACAGGGGTCAGTGGGAGGGTGGGGGTGCAGCAAAAACCAAAAAACACAAAATCCGTTGCCGTCAAGTCGATTCCAACTCATAGTGACTCTATAGGACAGAGTAGAACTGCCCTATAGGGTTTCCAAGGAGCGGGCTGGTGGATTCAAGCTGCTAACCTTTTGGTTAAGCAGATGAGCTCCTAACCACTGCGCCACCAGGGCTCCAGGGTGCAGCAGGGAGGGAATTATTCAGAAACACCTCCTCTCCCCTCAGAGATCTTGGGCCTCCTCCTCCAGGAAGCTTTCCTGAGGCACTCCAGCTCCGAGCACTCCTGCATAGCGAGTGGGCAACAAATGCTCAGGAAGACACAAAAGGGAGGGAGAAAAGGGGGCGACCACCTCCCCAGACCCTAGCTCCTGGCCCAGGCACCATGTGGGGGCGGGGCAAAGACTCAGGAGGTGCCTCTGGGTAGACTCGAACCTCCAACCTATTTGTTAGCAGCTGAACATGTTAACCGTTTGCACCACTCCCAGCCCCGGTCTCTATACATTTGCCGATTCTCAATATGTCATCTAAGTGGGGTCATACAATAGTTGGCCTTTTGTGTCTGGCTGATTTCACTCAGCGTGTCTTCCAGGTTCATCCGAGCATTGCCATGTATCAGGACTTCGTTTCTCTTCATGGCTGAGTAGTATTCCGTTGCACGGACAGAACATTTTGCTTATCCATTCATCCACTGATGGACCCTTGGGCTGCTTCCACCTTCTGCGCGTTGTGAATAGTGCTGCAGTGAACGGCTGGGTAGTGCTGTTGATGTTCAGACACATTCCAGTTCCACAGACTTCGAAACGAGACATCTCTGTCCGTGAAAAAACACGCATCTGAGAACGATCAATTCCCTGAAGTCAGAGCCCTTCTCGGGCTGCCTTCAAGTTTCCAAAACGTGCCACAACAGCGTCGCGCGTGCAGCAGGCACTGAGAAATTGAATTAAAGGATCCCCTAGTGCTCTGTCCCCATCTGTCCTGCAGGCCTGGCCCTGCTGGGGTTACCTGCTTCCACCTCTGGCTCCCAGACTCCACCGCTTCATTCCTGCACACCCAGCACACAGCCCTCATCCAACGAAGAAACAAGTGTGCTGGGGCTTTCTCAGGGCCCGGCCCTGAGGGAGCCTGCCCACCTGGAGGTCTTCTGCCGGTCCCTGGAAAAGGGGACTTAATTTCCTGTAGAGCGAAGCCTTCCAGGGTTTCTACCCTACCCCAGGCAAAATACTCCTGGTCAAAAAAACTTCTTTGCAAACAGATACTTGTACACCCGTGTTCACAGACAACAGGTGGAAACAGTCTAACTGTCCATCCACAGATGAAGGGGTAAACAAAATGTGGTATACATACATACAGTGGAGGCCTGGTGGTACAGTGGTTAAGAAAAGGTCGGCAGTTTGAATCCACCAGCACTCCTTGGAAACCCTATGGGGCAGTTCTACTCTGTTGTATAGGGTCATTATGGGTTGGAATCGACTCAGTGGCAACGTGTTTGGTTATACATACAATGAAGTATTACTCAGCCATAAAGAAACATTAAGTCCTGATACCTCCTATGACGTAGATGAACTCTGAAAACACTATACTGAATGAAATAAGCCAATCACAAACGGACAAATAATGTACAATCCCACTGATATGAAATATCTAGAACAGTCAAGCATATAGAGATCAACATTTATCAATGATTATCAGGGGCGGGCAGGAGGACAGGGAAAGGAAGACACAATGCTTTGGGGACACGGAGCTTCTGTGAAGGGTGGTGGGAAAACCTGGGAACAGTTAATGGTGAAGGTTGATGATGAACGTAATTAATGTCACCAAATTGTACGTGTGAAGGTTGTAGAAATGGCAAATGTTTTGTTATCACGACTTAAAAAAAAAAAAAAAGCACAAACAACGAGGATCTAATCAGATCTGACATGAAGCTGGGCATGAAAATAATATAAATTAGCAAGATGATCTGGGAGAAAAAAAAAAAAAACTTCTTTAACGGATCCCACGCAAAGATGCCCTGGGCCTCTCCCAAACCTAAACACAGGACAGGATGTGGAGGAGAACTCTGGTTCTCTCCATTCTCAAGTGTGAAATGTGATCCCTTCACCCCCAGGGAGCTGAAAACTCTTCTCGCCTGGACAATCACTTCCAAATGATGGATCTGGAAACCTCCCTGCCATCTGTTCTTGATTCAGAGGGGCTGTTTGGCGAAGCACATCATGGAGTGGCCTCCCTCCCTTCTCCTTCCTCCCGCCCCATCTCCCAGCAACCTGGCTTCTCAGAGGCAGTACTTGGCAGGCAATTCAAGGTCCTCCCTAAGGGACCATTGTCAATACCTGTAAGTTGGGAGGAAACGTTGGCCCATGGGGATGTCTGAGCTGAAAGAAAAACATGCAGTGGGAGTCGGACCCATTCAGCTGGACTGAGACCTGTTGAGACGGGGAGTCAGAGAAGGGGAAGTCAGAGGGAACAGAGGTGTGAGACAGAGAGAACTGGAGGTGGCTGGCTGGATACCTGGGGGTCAGGGGAACAAGTTATCCCAGAGTTTGCCCAAAGCCCAGGCCCAACAGCAGACCCCAGAAAACTCTATTCTCCCTCAACGTTTCTCAGCCCTAAGTCTTACTCAGGTAAGAGAGGACCTAGGCATGGAACTGGGAGGACAACTTTGGGACCCCAGGCCCCCCTACTTCACCTGCTATAGTGCCTGCTCATGCCTGGCACTGTGCTACTGGCTTTATAATTGTCACCTCATTTAAGCCTTTAAAGCTACTTTTCCAGGCTGGTATTACTATGTCCATTTCACAGCTGGCAAAACTGAGGCTGAATGGAGTTGAGTAATTTACTCACAACCACACAGCTAGTCAGAGGTGGAACTGGGATTTGAACCTGGATTTATATAATGCTAAAAGCTCACTAGATTGTAAGCTCCTTGGAGATGGGGACAGAAACTCAGTCACCTGGGCATCCTTAATACCTAACAGAGGCTGGCACACAGCAAAAACAATCTGTATATGGTGAATGAATGAATGAACAAATTAACAAATAAATATACTCACAGTGACTGCTATACATTTACCACACTGCATTTCATTTTTTCTTGGATACAGCTAAGACTACATTTCCCAGCCTCCCTTGCAGCTAGGGGGGTCATATGATAAGTTCTGGCCAATGAAATGTAGGTAGGAATGACATGCACCACTATGTGCCTGGCCCATAAAACCTGCATAATTCTCTACCCTTCCTCTCCCCTATCGGCCAGCTAGGGCAGAGCCACAGGTGGAAGAAGCCTGGATCCCTGAGAGACAGCGTGGAGCACAGCCACACTGGACCAACGCGTAAACTTTCACAGTAAACACACTTTTGTTTATTACAAGAGTCAGCCCATCCCAACTGTTATGAATTGAACTATGTCCCCGAAAATATGTTTTGTAAATCCTAAACCCCTATACCTGTGCATATAACCCCATTTGGGAATAGGACCCTCTTTGTCATGTTAATGAGGTCATATCAGTCTAGGGTGTGTTTTAAAACAATCACCTTTGAGATATAAAAAGAGCAGATTAAGCACAGAGAAAGAAAACAGAAGGGAACATACAAGCCACATGAAGATCTCCAAGGAACCGAGGAACAGAGGCTGAAAAAAGACAAGGACCTTCCCCCAGAGCCAACAGAAAGAGAAAGCCTTTCCTTAGAGCTGGTGCCCTGAATTTAGACTTCTAGCTTCCTGACCTGTGAGAAAACAGATTTCTGTTCATTAAAGCTACCCACCTGTGGCATTTCTGTTATAGCAGCACTAGATCACCAAGACACACTGACAAATCATACACACACTATCAAAATGAGGGCTATTCTGTCAGCTTCCCAGGGCCACCTTGCCTGCACTGTGGCATTAAAACCCCTCCTTCCTCACCAAGGGAGGAGAATGCAGCCCCCCGACCTGGGATGTGACGTTGTGATTGACGGCAGCTCGTGCGTCCACACCATAGACAAAGACTCCCTGGGAACTCCGTCTGAAGATGACAATCCTATCCAAGCTCAGGGCCTGGGGAAACTTCAGCTGGAAGAAACAGATAGCCCCCCGCTTAGTCCTGCCGACAGCCGAGCTTAGCCTGGAGGGCACAGACCAGCATGGCATGACCTGGGAACAGGTACCTGGGAGGAGTGGGCCATGTCCAGGGCCAGGCTGTGCCAGATTTCCCCATGCTGAGACCCGTCACGGTGCAGGCCCTTCAAGGGCAGCACAACCTTCTGGTTGACTTTCAAGGTGGCCTCAACCTCCTGGTTCTCAGCCTGCGGGTGCAAGAACCAGAGGCACCAAGAGAGGCTGCCTCCCACCTCTAAGGACCTGCAGATACCACCCTGGTAACCCAACAGTTGGAAGAAAACAGCCTCAAGATCAATAAGTTAAAGTAGAATCTACACTCTTCCACATTTAGGGCAAAAACGGCACCAGAATGGTACAAGTGAAAAATGCTGAATTGGCAAATTACAAGAATTTTTAAAAAGTTAAAAACTTAAATTAAAAAAAAAAAAACCGGGGACAGGTGCATGGGTTGGGTGCCTCTCAAACAGGGATGGTCAACTCCAGTGCCCACAGATGGTGCGAGTGGAGTGAGCTCCAGGGCGCAAACATGAGTGCCTGCGTCTCGTCCAAAGAGTGTGTTCCAGTATCAGCCTGTTTTGTTCATTGCTCTATTCCTGTCATGGATTGAACTGTGTCCCCCCAAAATATCTGTCAACTTGACTGGGTCATGATTCCCAGTATTGTATGATTATATACCAGTTTGTAATCTGATGTGATTTCCTTATATGTTGTAAACTCTATCACTATGATGTAATAAGATGGATTAGTGGCATTTATACTGATGAGGTCTACAAGATTGGATGGTGTCTTAAGCCAATCTCTTTTGAGATATAAGAGAGAGAAGCGAGCAGAGACACATGGGAACCTCATACCACCAAGAAAGCAGTGCCGGGAGCATAGTGTGTCCTTTGGACCTGAGGTTGCTGCGCTGAGACGCTCCCAGACCAAGGGAAGACTGATGACAAAGAACTTCCTCTGGAGCCGACAGAGAGAGAAGGCCTTTCCCTGGAGCTGATGCCCTGATTTTGGATGTGTAGCCTACTGGACTGTGAGAGAATAAATTTCTCTTTGTTAAAGCCATCCACTTGTGGTATTTCTGTTATAGCAGCACTAGATGACTAAGACAATCCAAATACTCAGCACAGCTCCTGGCACAGAGTAAGTGCTTGGTAAATATTTGGAAGAATGCAGAATCACTAGTGATAGCCTGAAACCCAAGCTCAAAGCAGTGCTGGGCTGGAAGAATATTTAATTCATCATGTGGGCAGGCAAAATAATGAATTCCCAAAGATGTCCCCACCACCTGTCTGTCAGTTTGCTGTACTCTGGTGGCTTGTGTGTTGCTATGATGCTGGGAGCTATGCCACTGGTAGTGCAAATACCAGCAGGGTCACCCACGGTGAACAGGCTTCCGCAGAGCTTCCAGACTATGACAGACTAGGAAGAAAGGCCTGGTGATCTACTTCCAAAAATTAGCCAATGGAAACCTTATGGATCAAGAACACTGTCCAACTCACTTGCTGTGGAGATATTATCAGGAGGGATCAATCCCAGGAGGACACCACGTTTGGTGAAGTAGACGGCCAGTGAGGGTGAGGGAGACCCTCGGTGAGATGGATTGACACAGCAGGCACGACAATGGCCTTGAATCCGTCCCACTGTACATAAGATCACCATGAGCTGGAGTCAACTCGACAGCAGCTAACGATAATAACAAAGACGCCTACGTCCTAATCCCTGGAACCTGTATGTCACCTGACATGGCAAAGGGACTTTGCAGATGTGACTGAGTTAAGAATCGTGAGATGGGGAGATGATCCTGCGTTATCAAGGTGGGCCCAATGCAATGATAAGCGTTCTTGTAAGAGAGAGGCAGGTGGGTGAGAGCCAGAGAGAGACTGGATGTGCTATTCTGCTGGCTTTGAAGACAGAGGAAGGGACCATGAGCCAAGGAAGGCAGATGGCTTCTAGCAGCTAGGAAAAGGGAAGGAACGAAATCTCTCCCGGAGTCTCCAAATACAAACAAAAAAACACAGCCTTGTCAACACCCTGATTGTAGTCCAGTGAGACAGACCCATTTCAGACTTCTGACCTCCAGCCTTGTTAAGATAAAATCTGTGTTGTTTCAGGCCACTAAATTTGTGGCAATTTGTTAAAGCAGCAATAGGAAACTAATACACAGTTACTCAGTCATTTATTCATTCAATAATTACTTGTTGTTATTGTTGTTAAATGCCGTTGAGTCGGCCCCAACTCATGGTAACCCCATGCACAATGGAGCAAAACGCTGCCCGGTGCTGCATCATCCCCACGAGTGGTTGCAGATCAGACTATTGTGATCCACAGGTTTTTGTTGGCTGATTTTTGGAAGTTGATAGCCAGGCCTTTCTTCCTAGTCCAGCTCAGTCTGGAAGCTCTGCTGAAACCTGTTCAGCATCGTAGCAACACACAAGCCTCCTCTGACAGCCGGGTGGTGGCTGTGCATGAGGTGCCTTGGTGAGGAATCAAATTCGGGTCTTCCGCACAGGAGGCAAAAATTGTACCATTGAACCACCACTGCCCGCGACAATTATTTAGCTTCTGCTAAATGCCCAGCTCACAGGAGCACGTTGCTGCCCTCTGCCATCTATGTTGACAGAGAAGTTTAAAATACCCTGGCACAGAATTTATCACTGGTGTACGTCTTTAAAAGAATACATGGCTTTATTTTAGAACCAAGATGGAGGGAGGAAAAAAAGAGGATCCAAGAAAGGAGAACAATGTGCATCATTAGACAGAGACATGTTTTAAAACATACATACAGCTACATTAGACTGAATTAAAGGGACCATCTACTGGGTTCCAGACTGCTGTTGTCAGGTGGGGTTTTAGGCCCAATGTGGAAAGATGTTCTGAGTAAGAAGCAGAAATCTGGGTTTTACCCAAATCTTCTGATTTTTAAATGTCACAGTTAATTCAAAATATTTTTTAAATGCTGAGCAGGCCAAGCCAAACACATCTGCAAGCTGGATTTGGCCCACGGCGCCATTCTGCAATCTCCGGTTAGAAAAGGGAAAACGCCACTGGGAATGACTCTTGCAGGTGTTCTGAGCCATCATCCTGCCCGATGTTTCCCCCAAGAAGCTCCCGGGACTTCACCTCCCTAACCTCCAGGGAGGCGTTCCTAGCCCTGTTTAACTGGTGGGGAAGTGAGGCCCCGGGAGGGCAGGTCTCGCTGCTCGCTGCTCGACAGCTGGCCTAGCTTCACGTCCCATCCAACAGACCTCTGCGTATCTGGGAAGGGGCAGGGCGGGGGACGGGGGAGAAATCACCACTCTCTTCCTTGACCAGGGCCTGGCACACAGTGTGTCCTCAATAAAGGCTTACTGGAGAATGAGGCCATCCCCCAGAGTTCGACTTCTCCTAAAGGGGTCAGGAATGAGACTCTGAGGAGGGCCTACCAGGCATGTCATAAGTACCTAAGAGAGATTAGTTTATAGACAGTCCCTGACTTACGACAGGGTTCTGTTCTGACAACTACTCTGTTGTAAACTGTTTTTTTTTTTTTTTTAGTTTTCATTATTATTGCCTTTTATTACCAGTGTCCTTATAAATCCTATCTTTTATTTGTCTTTGGGGTTGGACATTACATCCGAGAATGATAACATCAGCAAATTATGCACTGCAACACTGTACCTAGTACATATTACTAACAACAAAACGTACAAAAAAAGAAACCTGAACGGTCCCAACAGTGGTTCGCCGTACCTCGAGTCCATCATAAGGCGTTTCAAGTCTCGCAGCCACTAAATAAACTAAAAAAACCAAACCAGTTGCTGCTGAGTCAGTTCTGACTCCTGACAACCCCATGTGTTACACAGTATGGTTTTATTGACTGTAATCTCTGTGGACGCAGATCGCCAGGCCTTTCTTCCCCAGCGCCGCTGGGTGAGTTCAAACTGCCAACATTTAATAGTTGACAGAAAACTATTTGCGCCACCCAGGGACTTTAATCATTGCATAAGACATGGTTATTGCTGTTCCCATTTTACAGATGAGGAAACTGATGCCCAGATACATGAAATAACTTGCCAAGGACACATAGCTAAATATAGGTTTCACCTCTAGGAAGACAAAAACTAGAACCTTCTAAATCAAGTCAGCAAATCTTGGCCCACGGGCCAATTCTAGCCTCTTTTTAAAATAAAGCATTATTGGAACACAGTCATACCCATATATTTATGTATTATTTATGGTGTTTTGTGCTACAAGGGCAGAGTTGAGCAGTTGTCCCAGAGACTGGATATCCTGCAAAGCCTAAAATATTTACTATCTGGTCCTTTACAGAAAAAGTTTGCCAACCCCTACTCTGGGTCATGGTATACAGTGGATTTAAATAGCATTGAGGCAACAATTATTCATTAACTTCTTATGATGCATCAGGTCCCTGGGACTACAATAACAAACTACCATATTTTACGAAAATAATGCACACCTTCTACATCTTTTTGCCACCCACGCCCCCCGCCACCCACGCAAGGTATTTTCGTAAGCACAGCTATGCCAATCTTTTTTTTACATGTTGCTGTAAAAAAAAAAAAAAAAATTAGCATAGTGTACTTATAAACAAACACAGAAGGTGCGTGTTATTTGCGTAAAAATACGGTAGAAAAATCTCACAGCCTTGCAGAGGAGGCCGTGATGAAACAAAGAAATACAGAAAAACACAGCTGGGATTTGTAATAGGTGTTGGAAGCAAAATGTATAGGGTACTCTGAGGGGGTGTACGCGGAGGCTATGTGAGGCAGGGAAGGCTTTCCATAAGAGAGAAGCTTGAGGTGAACTCTAAAAATGAAACAAAAGGGAAGCAGGCAGGCAGAAGGAAAGGGTGCAGTTCCAAGCACAGAAGGCGCAAAGGTCCTGTGGCAGAAAAGAACCAGCAAGGAAACGAAGGGCAGCTGGTGAAGTGAAGGCAGGCAGCAAAAGGGAGATGGCCTGAGGGGGACGCTAGAAGGGTTAGCAAGACCAGAGGGTCAGGGTGTGGGTCTTTCTCCCAAGAGAAGTTGTGAGGGCTTTAAGCAAGGGAGTGACATGAATGTATTGGTGTTTTACGATGATCCCTCTGGCTATCAAATGGATTGTGGTGGGGGGTGGGGCAGAGTGGAACAGAATGTTTTGGTCACCCAGTTGAGCAATAGCGGCCACTTGAATTGGGAGTGGCTGGGGTAAAGGGAAAGGAGCCCTGGTGGCACAGTGGTTAAGTGCTCTGCCGCGAACTGAGAGGTCTGTGGTTCAAACCCACCAGCAGCTCCACAGGAGAAAGACGTGGCAGTCTGTTTCCATAAAGACTACAGCCTTGGAAACTCTATGGGAAGTTCTACTCTGTCCTATAGGGTCACTGTGCACTGGAATTGACTCAAGGGCAACGGGTTTGGTTTCAAGTTTTTTTGGGGGTGAAAAGGTCTCTGGGACCTCTGTCACTTACAGTGTGCAGATTCCAAGTAACCAGCCATCCCTCCATGTTGCTGGGGATGGCCTTGCTGCTGTAGGGGTGGGTCAGGCCTGCACAGACCTGGGGAGGGACAATCACACATACACACATGCAGAGGGACAGGAGGCAGGGCGGGACTCCTTCCTGTTCCCAGGTCCCTTCCCCTCTACACCCCGGAGTCCACTCACATAGGGGTGTCCGGCCTGGTAGCCCAGGACGATAGTCTGCAGGGTCTCATCTTGGCTGTTCAGGACCACGCGGGTCTCCAAGGAGAAATGCTGGAGCTGCTTCTCAGCCGTGAAAGTCTCCTGTAGGAGGAGGCTCCATGGGATGGGCAGGTCCAGGGGGTGCCTGGTGAGCAGAAGGAAACAGGCTGTAGCCATCAAAGCTGCTGGCAGGGCCGGGGGCAACCGTGCTCCCCAGCCTCAGGCTGGGTCTTCCATGGGCTTGCAGAGTTAAGACCGTGTCACAGAGGGAACATGTCCGCCTCGTGCTTGGCAATTTGCCAACCAAGTTACTCACCATTGCACTAGCTGTCTGGACAATCCAGGGTGGTAGGCATGTATTATGGATTGAATTGTGTCACCCCGAAATATGTGTTGAAGTCCTGACACCTATAACTATGGATGTGATCCTATTTGGAAATAGAATTCTTTGTTATGTTAATGAGGGTGTGTGTGTGTGTGTGTGTGTGTGTGTGTGTGT